CGTCAAAATGATTTGACGTCACGTCATGGTTGGTCACTGATTGCTTTAACTTTTGATTGGAAAACTTTCACGTGTAATGGTTCTCGCTGTTTTGTTTTAGATTATAACAACATTTTTAGTTGGTAAAATTTTATCTAAGGTCTGTACAAAGATAATGTACATATTTTATAAATACTTTATAAAAATAAATACTAACAAGCGTTACAAAATTACAGGTGCACCTGACAATGCAGGTACAGAGTTCATCATCGGCTACATGGAAAATATCGCGGCTAACTTTGACGTGGAGCTCTTCGTTACGACAACCAAAACAACCACTGTCAACGTTCAAATCTCAGCTCCTCGTTACACTTCCGCGGGAATCAGCGAGAGCTTCACCGTTACTGCTGGTGTTGTTAAAGAGTTGTCGTTCTCGCCATTGATTCGTATGTCGGGGACGAACATGGATTCCAAGGGTATATTGATCAGCGCGGATGATGAAGTTGTGATTTATGGGGTCAACAAGGAAACGTATTCGTGTGATGCCTTTCTCGGTCTTCCCACCGACGTCCTTGGTAAGGAATACCTCGCCATCACCTACTATCCCCCATCACAACAGTGCGAGATCTTGATTGCTGCCGTAAATGACTCCACCTCAGTAACGGTGACCCTTGGGTCAGCAATCGGCAATAGCGATTACGTCTACTACGACAGTGACTACTACTTCTCCGGAGATTCCTTCTCACTTTCAATGGACAGATACGATACGTTTCAATTCTACAGCACCGGCGATCTTAGCGGCACCATGATCGTCGCTGACAAAAACATTGCTGTATTCAGTGGCAACAAGAAGACAAAGATCGGGTCGGGGGGAAGTTCCGATCATTTAGTAGAACAACTGACGAGGATCGATTCCTGGGGCAAGAACTTTATCACAGTTCCCATCCCGTTGCGGACAGTTGGTGACTACTTCCGGTTCATACCGAGTGAGAGCTCCACAACAGTGACAATTACAGGCGGTTATACCGAAACTTTTACCATCACTAACGCTGGTGATATGGTTGAAAAGGAAATCCCTTCTACTGCTTACTGCAAAATTACTTCAGACAAACCAGTTCTTTTGGTGCAATTTTGTTTGAGTCAGCAGAGTAGTGGCGAGGAATCTGATCCGATGATGATGATTATTCCGCCTATCGAACAGTTCGCTGCAGATTACACGTTCGCCACGCCGAAATATTCCCAGGTAACTTCACATTTTGCGTCTTATGTAAACAAGACCTTAAGGTATATAGTAGAATCAAATTCAATTTTTTTATTGCTTTTTTGACTTTATGAAATAATTGTTTAAAGTCATTCACAACGGAAGCATTCCATATAAATGACATCTTGCGATGTAATTTTAGTTTGAATCGATAAAATTCCGTCCGTTCGCTGTTCTGGTTTGTAGATTTTACGCCCTTATTTCGGCTACAACCGCAAATAAGACACCCGACACATATTTAGGCGTTCATTCTTCAACCGTAGACGGTTATGAGAAATGACTGTCAGATGTTTACCCCCTCCCACCCATAACATCACCCTGTCACAATCCAGAATTTGCAAACTTAACGTATCTGGGGTTATGTGTTTTAATTTATATATCTTGCCTTTGACACGAGTTTGAAACAATAGTTGTCATTGTGAACAAAATATAACCTCCTTATAAGCAACGATTTTGATTAAGCATTTATGTAACTTCTAATGTAGTGCGAACATTGTACCTCATTATAATCCTATCTTCATTCAAGTGTTATTGACTCTGTTATAGGGGTCGTATAATAACTACTTCATGTTTGTGGTGAAAGAATCCCAGAAGGACGGACTCCGACTGGACGGTGACGTGTTTCCATCTACCACGTATAATAGTATCAGTGGAACCGAATACGTTGCTGGATACGTGGCCGTTAGTCACGGCTCCCACACGGTTCGGCACACCTCTACCATCTCCATATTCGGTGGCTATTTATACGGCCAAGCAAAGTACGAGACATACGGATTTACAACAGGCATGCGCATGGCCCCAATCAACACTGTAAGCATTGCTTTTATATTTGACCGTATCGCCAAATGCTAGGATTGGTTTCACATAAAAGTAATTATACCTGATCTAAAAGCATATCTGAATGGGGTTTATTGAGAGAACGTGATCTTTGAAATTAACCACTGGCGATAAAGGTAATAATGCTTTATTTAAAAGCATATCTGAAAGGGGTTTATTGAGAGCACGTGATCTTTGAAATTAAACATTGTATTTACCTGTCGTACTCGCGTTTCCCTTATTTATTTCCCTAAAATGTGGGCTTATTAGAAATATAGTAAAATGTATCACCTCTGTGTTCCATGTGATGACAAGGGTGGCCTAATAATCTATCACGATATCATCAAATACTTATTGCTATTACAGACGTGGAACACGATTGTTTGTTTCCCGACAGCGAGGACAATACATATCAAATAATATCATTGAAAGAGTTTCTGGTCTAAACGTTACTATTTTATTATCTCCCGATTTGAATTATTTCCCCGCCATGGGATCAACAGAAATACCAGACACGCTGCTATGTAGATAGGGTATACTAGGTATAAGTGAATATAAGTTATCATAATTACAGGTATGTGTTAACTCTACGTCTGTGGTTGGTGATGGTTTGGACAACGACTGTGACGGCCTGATAGACGAGGAGCTCTGTACGTCAGCCAATGGCGGAGCAGGTTAGTAACGAGATGATCACGTGACTTACACGTGCGAACTTAATGTGGTACTCTTACTAAGGATTTCACTATACCGAGGAATTTTCATTCATTTCTACATCTAAAATTGTCCACAGAAATCTGTTGCATTAAGCTTCGAGGATTCGTTAACACATCAGCTAAACTGAGATATTGCAAGGAAGCATGTGGCCATCACACATGTGGTACGCGTCACATTCTGTGGCTTAATCTGTGACGTCGTAGAAATGGTGTTTACATTAAAATTCAGTGTTAGATATTTGGGTAAAAGATAGACATATGTATATGATAAAATTAAAAAANATGAAATAATTGTTTAAAGTCATTCACAACGGAAGCATTCCATATAAATGACATCTTGCGATGTAATTTTAGTTTGAATCGATAAAATTCCGTCCGTTCGCTGTTCTGGTTTGTAAATTTTACGCCCTTATTTCGGCTACAACCGCAAATAAGACACCCGACACATATTTAGGCGTTCATTCTTCAACCGTAGACGGTTATGAGAAATGACTGTCAGATGTTTACCCCCTCCCACCCATAACATCACCCTGTCACAATCCAGAATTTGCAAACTTAACGTATCTGGGGTTATGTGTTTTAATTTATATATCTTGCCTTTGACACGAGTTTGAAACAATAGTTGTCATTGTGAACAAAATATAACCTCCTTATAAGCAACGATTTTGATTAAGCATTTATGTAACTTCTAATGTAGTGCGAACATTGTACCTCATTATAATCCTATCTTCATTCAAGTGTTATTGACTCTGTTATAGGGGTCGTATAATAACTACTTCATGTTTGTGGTGAAAGAATCCCAGAAGGACGGACTCCGACTGGACGGTGACGTGTTTCCATCTACCACGTATAATAGTATCAGTGGAACCGAATACGTTGCTGGATACGTGGCCGTTAGTCACGGCTCCCACACGGTTCGGCACACCTCTACCATCTCCATATTCGGTGGCTATTTATACGGCCAAGCAAATTACGAGACATACGGATTTACAACAGGCATGCGCATGGCCCCAATCAACACTGTAAGCATTGCTTTTATATTTGACCGTATCGCCAAATGCTAGGATTGGTTTCACATAAAGGTAATTATACCTGATCTAAAAGCATATCTAAATGGGGTTTATTGAGAGAACGTGATCTTTGAAATTAACCACTGGCGGCGATAAAGGTAATAATGCCTTATTTAAAAGCATATCTGAAAGGGGTTTATTGAGAGCACGTGATCTTTGAAATTAAACATTGTATTTACCTGTCGTACTCGCGTTTCCCTTATTTATTTCCCTAAAATGTGGGCTTATTAGAAATATAGTAAAATGTATCACCTCTGTGTTCCATATGATGACAAGGGTGGCCTAACAATCTATCACGATATCATTAAATACTTATTGCTATTACAGACGTGGAACACAATTATTTGTTTCCCGACAGCGAGGACAATATATATCAAATAATATCCTTGAAAGAGTTTCTGGTCTAAACGTTACTATTTTATTATCTCCCGATTTGAATTATTCCCCCGCCATGGGATCAACAGAAATACCAGACACGCTGCTATGTAGATAGGGTATACTAGGTATAAGTGAATATAAGTTATCATAATTACAGGTATGTGTTAACTCTACGTCTGTGGTTGGTGATGGTTTGGACAACGACTGTGACGGCCTGATAGACGAGGAGCTCTGTACGTCAGCCAATGGCGGAGCAGGTTAGTAACGAGATGATCACGTGACTTACACGTGCGAACTTCATGTGGTACTCTTACTAAGGATTTCACTATACCGAGGAATTTTCATTCATTTTTTTTCTACATCTAAAATTGTCCACAGAAATCTGTTGTATTAAGCTTCGAGGGTTCGTTAACACATCAGCTAAACTGAGATATTGCAAGGAAGCATGTGGCCATCACACATGTGGTACGCGTCACATTCTGTTGCTTAATCTGTGACGTCGTAGAAATGGTGTTTACATTAAAATTCAGTGTTAGATATTTGGGTAAAAGATAGACATATGTATATGATAAAATTAAAAAAACAACAGCATAAATACCATACAATCCAGTGCTGTAGTTAATTCACTTAGCATGTGATAAACTCGGACATTTTGATACAACTCTCTAGCATTTTTAAGATTTAGGCAGTGGAAAACAATGTTTGAAGTATTTAGAGCATCGACTCAAACTTGTTTTAGAATACTGCATTTTGACTATATGACATTCACGAGTCAATGCTAATTTTGAATAACTAGCAAATCGTCGCATATTAAATGCATGTCAATAACGCCTTTTTGACATTCGTGTTTTTCCTAAAAAGAGTGTTATTTCGTACAAAGAGAGTGACTTTAAAATATGCAAGTTACGCTAGAACGAAAATATTTATACAGTAATGACCATGTATATTGCAGTGTTCATGGACAAATACAAACATCTGTGAGACCTGATCTTCCTTCGGGTAGTGGAACATATTTTATTCATATTTCGACATTGAGAACTTTGATTCTAATGTGACACTACGCTACCTTTCTTTTGCAGATGATGACGGAGATGGCTTGGTTGATGAAGATTGTGCAAAACCCGCTCCAGGTACGCGAAAAGTTTACAGTTTTACACCCCCCCCCCCCCCCCCCCCCCCAAATATATAGCAGGTATTGCTCACTTGGACCTTTATAACTATTGTACTTTGTAAAGTGTCTTGAGAAATGTGGTCAGAGGAGAGGAGATTTTTAGTTCATTGCAATAATTTATTACATAATTTACTACTTAATGTTGCTATACTGAAACGTCTTTGTTGACTCATACGTGATACTGAAACTAATAATCAATTTTTCGAAGCCGCGAATGGCAGATTTCTAGTTTCCTTACAGCAAGCGAAACCAGCTTTGAGCATTTCGGTCTAAAAACAAAACATTAGATCTACAGTTTATGCCTCATTTAGCTCTTCCAGGAAAAGCCACAATGGTCATCCTATTTGTAATAGTCAAATATGCCCCCCCCCTCCCCCCCCCTCAAA